CCGCAGGGTTGTTAGGGCAGGCAGCTCGAGGGTTAAAGAATCATGGACCAAAGGGAAGCCATAAACCAAGGGAAAGAGAGGTGAGAACTCTGGCAAAAGACCAAGAGATCAGATGGTGCAAGACCCGGCTGGAGGGAAGCAATTCATGAGACTGCTTCCAAAATGGCACCGAGGTAGTATCAATAATGAACAAGTGGTCGAGACTCTGCCAGTGCCACATGATATGCAGCGATAGTATTAGGTATGAGATATCAATTGAGAAATGACCATGAGGAAAACGAGAGGACTAACAGATGGGAGAATGACGACAAAGGGACAAGAAGTGGCAGAATGACTGTGAATCTACTTCATACTGCTGCCAGTATAGGATATAGGTGGGGACACTACATGTTTGCCATATAGATGGCAATAGAAGTTTGAACCAGCTAGATACATCACCAAACTAACTTCTGAAAGAAGTGGAGAATGAAAGAGAGCCCAGGTTTGGACACCATACAAACAACGTCTGAACCAAGGCTGAGCTGGCTACCAGGAAACCAAAACCACCACCTACTCCAAGGCCTGGAAAAAGAAAAAAGAGGTAAAGAAACCACGACCATGGTCTAGCTAGAAGGAATCCTCCACGAGGGCCTCACAATTGGACAATGGAGCCATGTAAACAGGAAGGCACCAATTCCAAGCCAATACAAAAAGATCCACGTCAGGGAACCTAAAAGTCTCGCAAAGTCATCAGAAAAAGGTGGCATCGATGGACCACACCTTGGAGATAGGAAGGCATCACTGTATGGTCATGGTATAGGATACAGTAGTGCATCCTATGCCACTGTATCCTAGTGATTTCTTTATAAATGTCCATACAGTATTTGAAGATATCACTGTATCCTACACCATGACCATACAGTGTATGAAGGGGTTCAAAGAATAACATGTAGTATAAAGCTTTATTTTAATTAATACATGTAAAAACATTACAGCCGAGTATTTTTTGTATTTGTGTAGCTTCTGACATTTTAAAAATGGTAGTTAGCAAAAGACTGCATCACATTTATGTAGATTCAACTTTAAAATCTGTAAACTTGCAGTAAATTATGTCATTCAAAATTTTTATTTTGGCCCTAAAACTAACCTTTTGGTATACCTTCTAGGCAAATCCATGATTTGAAGATCAGGAAATGAATAGTAAAATATCGTCAGAATATTGGCAAGTAAAAGTTAAGGAAGGCATATGAAGCTTGTTTGTCAACAATTTTCCTGACCACCACAGGGTTGTTAGGGAATAACTATCATAATTATAACTAGCATAGTTAAACATAATAACTGGCATAACAACATATTAGTGTGAGTGTGAGAGAGAGAGAGAGAGAGAGAGACAGAGAGACAGATAGAGAGATAGATAGATATTGATTGATTGATTGATTATGGTTTGTGATCCATATTCCTACTATGGGTCAAGGGCTTCTCTCTCAAGTTTACAAATAGATTTCTAGTCATTGCTGGCATTTGTGATTTTTTTCCAATGTACATAGTGGCATGTTTATAGTGCTACAAACACATGCTAATTTTTTTTTAGAGAAGAGTATAAATTATAAACCCTGAATTAAGATACTAATTTCAATAAAAATATTCACATATGGCTCACTTACCTTTACTCAACATTTAATTGGATTTGTTGATTTTTTTTTTCAAAGCCAGCAAACCCAACCAAGTGTTAAAGTTATCGTACTGCACACTTCGCAAGACATTCCTCAGTGACAACTGTCATCAGCAGCATAGGCTGATTGATCACTACAATGTTGGTCCTTCTCATATGCAAGTTATATCTACAGATCACCCCTTAAGGTGCAGTACTATACAACACTTTTTCTCTTCACAGAATTATTATTAAAGATTAGGTTACAAGTTCTACTGTTCGTAAATCTACTGATGTGAAGAGCAAAGATGCTTCACACAAAATAAATATATCGAGTTCATACGAGAGACTCCATATGAAAAGAATATTGCAGGGAAATATACATAAAAGACCATTTCTCCTGAAACACTCGGTGTTATAGTACTGATATATGTAATATCAAACTTATCATATACAGTAGATATAAAAATAGCTTATTTATTTTTAACATTAAATAAAATTTATGGCACATCACTATCTGGATTTACATGATGTCACAGCTATGACTTTTAGTCGAACAACATTCACGTAACACTATATATATACAACTCTATTCAGAAAATGTTTACCATAACATTCTAAGAGTTATGTCAACAGATTCTTGTGTAAAATTGGTTTTAATTAATTTTAAATCTTGAAATTAATCGCAATACTTTAACTAACCTTGTGGTTACCTTGCAATGATTTTGGGGCTCAACGTCCCCGCGGCCCGGTCCTCGACCAGGCCTCCTTAGACTAAAAGCCAAAATCACCACCAATCCACTAGTGAAATATGAATATCCACCATGTCTACACTCTGTGCTGTCGCAAGCCTTCCTTAGGAGAACCTGCAAAATGATCCTAATTTCTGACTTAAAATAAAACATGACAAAAAAAAATCCATATACTGTACTGATCATTCAATTTATAACTACACAAAGACCCATGTACAAATTTCTTTCTCTTGCACTGTCTATTTGATTACATCCTCTAATGTTGGAATATGTAGAAAGGCCTTAGCCTTAGTCAGCTGTGGCAACCCTGTTGTGGCGGGCCAAATACTGTGCATGAACTCACTTCTGCCACAGATGGTTCCTATGTTACACTCACTTGATGGGCTGCTCCCCCTTTTCTATATGATTATCACCCTTTTTAATACCATATATGCAAGAAATGTATGGTACTGGAACTGGCATATCAAACCATATGGAAACCAGTGTCACAGCTACCACTACAGTCCTCAACAGTTACACAGTTACAACTATGACAGTCAACAACCAGTACAGGTGAGGACAAATTTAATATGCGGCCACATAACTGAACTCCCTGATAAACCTCCCAATCAAAATACATCAGTGTAACTTCATTTGTCTTTGCCAACATACAAAGACTAAAAACTAAGGCAAAATCCAAAATACCATCAATAAAGGGCCTACTCACAGAGGCAAATGCAGTATTTGGAGCTTCCACAGAAACCCATTTGAGGAAATATATGAACAGTGAGATTTGGATACCAGAATATAGTTTATATAGATGCAAGACAGTAAATAGGTCACATGGAGGAGTAGGTCTATATATATTAGAGGGGATCTTGTATGCTCAAAGCTTCTAAACTCTACAAGTAATTATCAGAAGAAGGTACCAAGCCGGGAAGGCTATGTAACACCAACATTGTCGCAAGATATTCAAAAGGCGCTAAATATCACTGAGGATGCCAATTCGGGAACAAAAGCTCTAAGACAAGTGATATTGAAAGTATCGGATTCACAAAGATTCTATCGAGGGCCATATGACCACAAGCAATATTTTGGAAGCAAGACAAGAACATCCCAAACATCAGAACATTCTACAAGGAGGTGCATGATTAAGAGAGACACAGCTGTTCAGAAAATAAAGAGCAGGGTGACAGTCCATGAAGTGCCCATGAGTAAAGCGCACCTAGCCAATATGTAACCAGCGTATGTGGCCAATATGTAACTTAGTCAGAGCCATTTCCCATAGCCAATTATGGAGGTAGGAGGAAGGCCAAGGGGAAGAGGCTACCATTAAGAGCATACAGTTTGTTACCTATAGCAAAATACCAATGACCCTGCCAATGGTATTGTATCGATAAATGAATAACTGGTTAGAAATCTGAATAAGGAAGACCTTTCTTGGAAATAGGACAAGTTGGGATAGTCTCCTTAGTGGCAGCATCTGCCCTCATTTAAGGTAATACCAATATGGCTGGAGAACCTAACAAAACCGAAACTGTCTTAAATCTGCTAAAGATAAGAAATGGCCAATATTGAATTGGATTTTGACTACTTCAGAGTCGAAATGAAATGAAGCTGAAATATTTCGGCTAATGGCTGAAACGTGTGAACCATTTCATTTCCTACCAACACCAGATCTGCCATGTCAGAACCATGAAGATGGAGGACAGGTGATGTGTGTGAAAACAAATTTAACAGCATCTTATGGAGCTTCTTCTAAATGAGGGAGAAGGGATGTCAACCATAAGGGTGGAGACATATTATCTCCAATTTCCCTGTTTAGCTGTATGGATGGCCCTATGGGCCAATGCACTCCTATCTTGCGATTACCTTGCGATGATTTCGGGGCTTAGTGTCCCCGTGGCCTGGTTCAAGACCAGGCCTCCTTGGTCTTCCACTTGCCTTCCAAAACAAAATAAAAGAATCAGGAGTTTGTCAGTGTCAGTATTGTTTTCAGGTTTCACATTTGCAGCCTGAGCACAGCCCAAATTTCACCAGGGAATGCACTTAACACTTTCACTCATGGCACAAGCGAGCGCCAGACCACCCCAAGGTGCGCCGGGCATTCCACAGGAGTGCGCGGTTTTTTTAATCTTGGTTTTCACTCTTTTCAATTTTGTCACATCAATTCTCATTCTAGGTCTTTCATTTTGGTATCAATGTTATCTTGAGATGATTTCGGGGCTTAGTGTTCCCGCGGCCCGGTCCTCGACCAGGCCTCCTCTTTGTTACACGCCCCCTAGGAAGCAGCCTGTAGCAGCTGTCTAACTCCCAGGTACCTATTTACTGCTAGGTAAACAGGGGCATCAGGGTGAAAGAAACTTATTGCCCATTTGTCTCTGCCTCCACTGGGGATCGAACCCGGAACCTCAGGACTACGAATTCGAAGCGCTATCCACCCAGCTGTCAGGCGCCCAAGTGTCCCCATGTGTTCGCAATAAAATTCCCTACAGGAGTATATGCATATAAAGTCCAAACGTGTGGTGTACCACCCGCAGCAAACAGAGAAAGTGACATCGCGTTAGCCATGAGCGCTCAAGAGCAATAAAATATGTATACTCTTTTCAACTTTGTTACCTCAGTTCTCATCTTAGGTCTTTCATTTTGGTATCAATGTGTTGGCAATCGAATTCCCTACAGGAGTATATGCATATAAAGCATATAAATTGCGGCATACCACCCACAGTAAATGGAGAAAGTGACAGCTTGTTAGCTGTGAGCGCTCAAGTGCAATGAAATGTGTACGGTATACTCTTTTCAACTTTGTTACCTCAATTCTTGTTCTAAGTCTTTCATTATGGTATCAATGTGTTCGCAATAAAATTTCTTACATGAGTATATGCATATAAAGTCCAAAACTGCGGCACGCCCTTCCCAAAGCCAAGTTGAAAGCTGGCCAAATTTTTTAATTTTTGACGCCATACTGCGTCACTACTGAATGTTCGTCTATTAAATTTTTTATGCCATACTGGGTCATTAATGAGCGAAAGTGTTAAAGCACACTGCAGGAGGCATAGTGAGGAAGAAAGAGGAGGGCAGCATCCAATAAAGTGTCATAAAAAATGTAAGGGGAGCTCAAGAAAGAGGCAGATCAGATAAACAAATCCACAAGGGCAATGATGAGGGATCGAACCTATGCACGGGATGTTCCCAGACGCGCCATAGTCAACTGTACCACCACATGGCCAAAACTGCTCTTGTGGATTTGTTCATTTGATATATCATGCTAGTGTGATTTCTGCTTGTACAGATCAGATATGTTGGAAAGAGGAGTGTAGAGGGTGAAAAGATTCTGGTCCACCATTAAATCCACAGAGTCAACTAAGTGCTTATGAATGTGCACATCATCAGTGTGAGAATGTTCATCATGACAGATTAAAATACTTAGGCCATGTAGCAAGGCTAAACAAATACTGGAATGCTGCAGAAGGTATCACAAAGCAAATGCATGTGAGTGTGGTGACAGCACTGGAAACCCCCATGAAGGAGGGAGATAAACAGCACAATTATCACAATGGAAGATGGTGCCACACCAGGGAACACGGTAGTCACTGCTGTGGAGCTTGGAGCTCAACTCAGCCACAGAAGTGGAAGGATAATGGAGAAAGTTAGTCGGGGTAGTTAGAGATGAAGCCTGGTCTGGGCTCAATGTAGCCGGGACTACGAAACCCGTCCTTGCATCATGGTCTGACTCTGGGGGTCCTGGTTACCTGCCCCATGAGTCTAAGGAGAAATAAGGTCGGAAATTAACACAATAAGTAACAGATAAAGACATCACTGTCCAGCACCCCACCCACCACGGAGCCCACATGGGAGGCACAACTGTAACCAGAACCATGTAAGTAGGTCACCATTACGGGACCAAACTGCATCCGAGGGACAAATAGGGGTACAATCCCTATAATGCCCACTTGACCCTATGTCTAGGCAGGGCTAACCAGACTAGCCGATTGGTTCATGTCAGCCACATTGAACCTTCTGTTTTACCCGACAGAACTGTACTATATTTGTCAAAAAAAGGCACCAAGCCAGGGAGAGTATGTAGCACCGGCCATTTTACCCATCCTCTCGCTAAAGCAGTGTGTTGCCACCCCTCTCTCTCCAGGGGTCACAACTAATGGGTAGGCTTAACTCCCACGTGAAGGAACACAAGGGCATGAACAGGACTCCATACACAGCTAACATATGGGAACAGATGTTGCTTGTACACTGCCACAGCAGGCAGGAGTAGGGAACAGGAGCTACCCCTCCTACCTGCATTGAGGGTAGAACTCATATACCACACCAGTGTGTATGTGGGTAGTGTGTGAAACTCTGATTTGATGTTGGCTGGATACCTCGGGAACCCTGGAGGATTCCGTTGAATTCCAGGTTACTTTACCTTTGTTGCATATTGTAGTCCAGTGGTTTAAAGTGTGTGCTTGGGAGTATACAGTGTGCAGGTTCAAATCTTCCTCGTGGCTCCTACCGATTTTCTCACCAACATTTTTACTTCCACAACAGACTTTTCCAACATACACAATCTTCTCTTTCAACTTCTCTGTGGAACACTACTTGCCATGAACATCATTGTGCATTTAGTCTTCTTGCAGAAACTCAAGAGCTTCATTGAGCCTTTGCTTATTTTCCAGTACAGTATAACTTATTTACTCCTTTTTATTCAAATAGTGGTATTTGTATCTCCCCTCATATTAGTTTGATGTGACTTGCCTTTCCAAACTTCAGTGCTGTCTGCTAATATTTTCATAATCACTGAGTTTATCTAGAGTGGCTATTGTTCTGCTTTTTCTTACTTTAAATCTCACTCTTTTCATTCTTAATGAGTTGGAACAGCATTTTCATCTAATTAAACATGTTCCAGAATAATTTGCATACAATAATGCCTTACAATTTAACTGTGTTCCTTTATGTTGGCATTCTAACAGCATTTCTTGCATCATGCTTAAAAGCATTCTCTTGTTTAGTCACTCATTAACACACATACTTACACAAGAGGTATGGTTCTGTTTGGTGCTCACTGTACTTGGAGAAGAAAAAAATCCAAGTTATACCACTTTGTTGTCCACTAAGATAAGATACACCAAATCCATAAATATGGGTTATGAATGGTCAGGCAGATCATCACTATGGCATTGGAGCATCAGGGACCCTTTAAAACATCCAGGCTACCACCACTGATTGGCAACCCCCAAACTCACAACAAGGTTCTCCTTAACCGAGTTCCATGTCAGTTTGGCAGGTGTGAACCAGATTTCAGTTAAAGTTACTTGTCTCATGATCTGCAGAAATTTCATTCATCCTTACCATGAGTACCACTCTTGAATCAAAGAAAGCTTCCCTATAACTAGAAGATTGATGAATTCAGAAGAAAAGCTAATCGCCTCAAGAGTACCCTTCACACCACACATTGTATGTCGAGTCATTATCTTCCCGATTTGATCCTCTAACTGTACTTCCTTTGGTCTTCCTCTTGGGAACTTGAGAGTTGTGCATCCATTCTTTATAGTTGGCATTCAAATACTTGCATGGCTGCAACATCTTGGAGATTCTGCATTTCTGTTGCCAAGTCCACCACCTCAAGTGGCTTTCACAGGAACAGGAAGCTAGTGGTTTGTGAGGAGGTTCCACCATTGGCCCTGGAAAAATTCCTCAGGAATAATTGGGGACCTTAAATATGCCAATGGCTTTCTATCCATGTTGAGACCACAAGGTGGACATCAGATGAATGCAGATACATTATACATTATTATTTCTGGTACTTTGATCTCACTTCTTTCTAGATTCCAAGGAGTACACGATGATGTATAGTAGCATAATTTGTTTATCATTCATCATTACCAGTACTCTCATCAAAGCACTAACATATTCTTTATCATGGACTGTAACACAGTTTCTTGTTTTAAATATTATAAACTAATATTAACCTACGCTATCCTCCCTACTCTCTGCACCTTGTGTGCACAACACACACAAATGGTCGAGACATTTATTGGATTTAGCATGCTACAGAACAATAAAGTACAAATGCAGCATCAGGCAAAGTTTCTGCATTTGTACTTCATTAAAAATGCCGATCCAAAAGCTATGGATCTGCATTGTTAAATGGTGAATGGCAGTGTTGAATATCCAATGATGAATGGAATAAGAAAGATACCACAAGTCAACAATTATTTCTTTTGGTGAGCCAAAGTCTCTCTCATAACAATAAAAATAATTCTACGAGTAATTGAGGGCCTGAGTTAGAGACAATAACCAGTTCACTCAATATGCTGGTTCAATTTTTGTGCCATTCATGAGGCAATTCCATTGTGGTAAATTCATTACAATTTGCTTGAGACAGTTTTAAATAATGCTGTTTTCATATATGCTTTTTTGTATACATTCATAACTGTACATTAAATAAAAACGACAAATGAGATCCAGTGAATCCTTTACCTTCAGTGATACCTTACAAAACTGATAATTTACAAACTTCCCATGTTGTCATACAGCTTCAGCTTTTCAGGGAAGTTGTCCATGAAGAGGACAGGATCGGCTCTGAACTCGACAGTCTTGAGGGGCATAGTGCCAAACACTTGTGTGAAATGACTGACACACTGAGAACGCTCCACCATGTGAGCCTCATTTGCAGACAGGTCTCCACTGGTACACTCACCACACTTAAACTTCTTTCTTGGTGTAACCTATGGAATAATAAAAGTCAAATTAAACAAATGAAAGAAATGATGTAAAGTTGAACAATAATGTCATTTGGTGTTTCCCCAAGGCAAGAACCGCCAGGTCCCAGACCAGGGTCGGGATTCATCAAGCAGTTACACAAGTACAGTACTTACGAACCACTACATCTTTCCTCAATCTTTGGCAGCTATGTTTACATTAATTAAACAGGACAATGATCAAAACTTCCCAGTCAACTGTTATTATTGTTATAATCAGCCTCCTGGTGCTTCGGAGCTCATAAACTGTTTAAAATATGCGAACAAAGATGCCAAAGACTGGGAAAAGACATACAGGTTCACAAGTACTGTAGTTGCATAACTGCTTGGTGAATCTGGGTCCTGGTATGCTTAGTGAAGAGAGGCTGACAATATGCACTACCACAACATGTATCTTTTGAAATTGTACCTGCTGGGTCACTATATGACTACCAGAAAGCAAATTTCAAATAACTGAAGTGCCTTCAAATGCTAATTGGGAATTCAGAAACCACACATTAGTGTTCTTGCAAATGCATGTCACGTCTGTTACTCCTGATCAACCACTGGTCAGAAGCACATATAAACCCAGGGTTCCCTGACAAACCACCTCACAACCTGACAAATTCCCTTGCCAGCATTGTTGGGAAGGCAAAACACCATAATGTTTATTCTTAGAGACCGGTATTCCATTGTGTAGATGATATTAGTAAATGCCTGGGTCACTCTTGACCCAGGCAGGATATATCTCTTGACCAAGAGATATATCTCTATGACAACTAAGAGGTATATCTCTATGATAACCCCTTGGAACCCTTTAGGTTCCAAGGGGTTGTCATAGCCAGGGGGTGGTAATGGGGGACGAGCTCCCATGACCTATAAAATGCTCCTATACGGCACGCGTCTCCAATAGCCTCTGACAACCAAGTCCAACTCCTGGCCTGCACAGGTGGCTTAGTCTTTAAGTCCAGCGGAACTGCTTTTACCGACAGGAGAAGGGGCGAGGGCGTGCCTCTGGCGCCTTAAAACCAGCTGCTCCGGGTAGATGGGACTCGATAGCCTGGGAAGGCAGCCCATCTAGGGGAAGGAAAACCCTGATTTTAAACCTCTTCTGCCTTGCGGCCATACCCCTTTTTTGGGAAAGGTTTCAGGAGTCAACCTCGAGGAAAAATCCGGAGTTGGAGCACCTAAGGCAGTTCGTTGTTGACGTCAACCTTGTTCTGGCAGCTCCTGCGACGTTGTTGGAACCATGTGTATTGGCATTTGCCTTTCTATTGGATAATTTCAACAACGTGGAGAGGAGGGACCTGCTGCATGGGTAAAAGCTTCTCCTCCATATCTACCTACCCAGGCTTTGCAACTCCATAGTCTTCCGAGACTGTAGGATGCCTACTACTACTACTATATCTCTTGACTTACTGCACTATCAAAGTTAACTTCTCTAATTTGGTTTGCTTCCTGGATTTGTAACTGCATATATTCTTCTCCCAAGTCTAACTCAGTACAGGTACAGTACTTGGTTCCATGGACATTGGTACTTGTACTACTGCACAAACAGGCCATTTTATTACCATTTGTCAGTAGGGGCATGCATCATTCTCTTTACCTTCAGTTATGCCTTGGCAAAACATACGTAATTGTATTAATTTTTTCCTTGTGGTCACCACGACAAAATCACAAATATTAGAACATTAAAATGCAGATAATACAGTACAGTAATAATAATTACCATTGTCAGAAAAGAAATCTACATATATTTATACTGTAGGCTTGTATCGAAGCCATTCCCCATCACCTCCCCTCCCAAGGTTAAATTACTGATATTTTCCACGATGCAACCCCACAATCGATGCCTAACTCCCAGGTACTCACATTTATTGTTAGGTGAACAGAGGCATTTGATGAAAGGAAATGTGCCAAACCATTTCTGTTTTCAAACCAAACCATTTCCAGGAACCCCAATCATGAGTTGAGAATGAAGCCAACTGTACTATGGGACCTTTTGTATACATAGACTGCAAAGACTGATTTATATCTATATTTTGCAAAAGGGAGCATTCTCCTACACTGTGACTATGCACTGCACATGTGCAGAATTAGCTACTGCACTGGCAGGAGTTTCAATTTTTTTACCTTCAAACTAACAAAGTTTCAACTGTTCACTGCCAGTTAACAATTTCACATATGCCTTACAAAAAGGAACCCTTCCTTACAGCCTTTATACCTGTGTCCATGGGTGCTTGTTTGTATCTATACCTGTACTCACCTAGTTGTGCTTGCTTGCATTTATACCTGTATTTACCATTTGTGCCTACAGAATCGAGCTTTAATCGAGTAAATAAAAGCAAAAACAGTATGGTGGGAGGAAAATGTGGGCTAGTGAGGTGTTGTTGAGGGAGGAGTGGCAGTGAGTGGCTGACTGGAGTGTGGCGGCCACTCTGTTGCTTTTTGACTCACAATACCAACTTAGTGGTTCGTTATGGTGAACAAAACATGCAGATACTTATGAATAACCTGTGTAGTGTAATAACAGCAAAAATATTTGTTTATTGTTTTATGAACATAATAATTGAATCACTAATATGCACACCATATTTTTGAGTATAGCAATGATTAACCTCTTTTATTACATAAATATATCACACTACACACTACTGAATAATATTACTGCAAAAAACTCTGAAAAAATCATTCAGAGATATTGAAATAATTAGGTAATAATATCTTTGTGGCAACTCTCGCCTGTCAGCTTGGGGTGACGCTCACCGCCTCTGACGACTGCTGTCAACGCCCACATTTTGCCAGACTTCCTCGTCCTATTGTGCCCAAAATATGTCTCCTACGATTTATTTTTTTATTTTTCCCGAGCTCAGGGAACACAAATTAACATTTCTAAAAGACGAAATAATTTTTTAGAATTTTTTTTTTCTTGCGCACAGGAGTGTAAATCTCCTCAGGACCCTTTAGCAGCCTAAGTGTTAATCTATGACTGCTTGTTCATGAAGCTTGCAGGTTTCAAAAATTCATCCTTGTCTAGTAGGTCAGTTCCTGTTACTCTTTTCCATGTAGTGATCATATTGTCTGTTTTTTTCCTTCTATCTTGGAGCCGATGTCATACTGTCTTATTGTTCTTCCATAAAATGCAGTATGTGTGTGAACATAATCCACAATAAGCTAATGCTTAAGTGCATTTATTTTGTATTAACAGGAGTTTGATTTTTTTACCATAATATTGCAGGGTATTGTGGTATAAGAAGAGGTGGCAGTAGAGACCCAGTAAATAAGGACAAGTGTGAATGCACAATGCATTGTGAATGCTGCTCTGCTCCAAGCTCCGTCTCAACGTCTACGACACTGCTGTATCCAAGACTACTAAATAAATATGAAACTCACTAAACACTGTGTATCTAATCTACCCAACAACATAACATAAACGTACGTTACATTGGTAACGCACAATGCACAATGGCAGTGACTTGTAAATACTCTGAGAATTTGGTAAGCTTACTGAGGCAATGTAGGTGTGATGTAGCTAATAGAAGCGACAGAGAGGTGACAAACAGACAATGAGAATCTAGTTCTTGGTTGGGGAGTGTTGCGTACATGGAAGTCATGATAGTGACACGCACTTCAGACAGTGGGAGGTCAGAAGAATCATTGGTCATGCTTTTGGTTGTCATGGGGGAAATTTTGGCCCAAATTTTAACTTCACAATGTCATTCTTATGCTTGCCAATCTTGCACAATCTGGTAATATGTGCTTTTGGTGTTATATTAACCCCAGGTTTCTTATACCTTTTATACCTTTACTATCACTTCTGGTCTCCTTTTGCCCTTACTAAATCTTCTTAGTTTATATTATTGTGTGCATAAGTGCTTGCTTATAGAATATATTGTGCATGCAACTGTTTATTTGCATATTATGTCCATGTATTATACAACTCAAGAAGCTTACCTTAATGGGGGCCTTTCCTGTCAAATTTGCCACTAGGAAATTCATGGCAATATCTTCACAGTTCATATTGGTATCCACCCAATCCTTGATGTTACCTGGGAGCTGAGTGGTGTACACATATGACCAGTACTTATGGTAGAATGCTACACCTGTTAGCACCATGGAAACCTGCAACATGTACATTACAGTCAGTACAGATATACATACATGCAGAACTAGTGTTATAACAAAGCATGAATGACAGACAGCAACTGCTCAAAATAATAAAATACAATTGGGATGCCACTCCTCTTGTGTATCTGCGTGTGTGTGTGTGTATAAACTGAAAGTGCATGTCCAAGTCGTCAAGTGGCTATTCTACACTGCTGACTGAGGTAGGTGGAACAAGTCCACCATGCCTTACGCGAGAACGTTCACTTGTTAACACAAGTTGAGCCGCTCAATCATTATTACCACTGTCAAAATGCCTCGTGTTACATTACCTTGGCCAATTGATCCCTAAGTGACAATCATGTTGCCATTTAACTTATTATGAATACAGATATATATCTTTACTGCTTGTGATCTCTTGTTATTCATCTGGTAAACTCTTTAGGCTTAGAAAGCCTAAAGCAACTAATTTACCACTCCATGTAAGTAGTCCAATTTTCCTCTACCAATTACACTTACAAATCTAAATCTAATATTATTTATCAAGTGCTCCCAGCCCATCTTAAGCTGTAACATCAATGCATCTTACTGGAGACCTTAACACTTTCGCTGCCTGATGCCGCATATTCCGTCACAGAACCAAAATACGGAGTATGCGGGATGATGCAAATAGGCATCAATAATTTAAAAATTTGTAGAAGTTCAATTTATTGTCCGAATACTATGGGACTCGTTTTAAAATGTGCGCCAACTTCTGCCCATTCTCTCTATACCCCCACGTGGCATCCTGACCCTGCCATGTGGGCGCCCATCCACGCTGGAGGCTCACCGTTCTCGTGACCTTGCTCGTGGCGGCCTTGGCCTTCCCTCGAGTCGAAAAGTTCCCCATTCTGGTTATTTATCAAGAACACTTATCAAGAACAAAGCCAATCCATGACAAAAGCAGTGAAAGAAACATGTATGAGGGAAAATTTATTGAGTTTTTGTCGAAAGTAAAGAAAACCAAGACATATACATATTCTTATATGCAAATATCCCTTTACATCATTCTATTGCGAACAATTTGATGCCAAATTGAACAACGTAGCACAAAAATTAAGGTCAGACAGCTATAAAGGGTACAAAATATTTGTGTGGTAATGAGCTCTCGGCCTACCTTGCAGTGCACATCGGGTCTAAAGTATAGGAACATGACACTTTTGTCCTTATATGCACATATTCCTTCATGCTCGGCTGACCTTGAGGTGTGTGGCGGGTCGCCCGCTGGGGCAACGAAAATGTTAATATAAATTTTCACCACTGATAAAACAGCAATTATTATTCACTACAATGAAACTGCCAATTTCCTCTTAAATACTAAAGACCTTAATTCTTGAGCTATTATGATGATGAAATTTAAGCCCTGAGCCAAGGGCTGCAATTCCTGAGTTATTAAGAACAATACCCATGTCAGCTTTTAACATCATGCTCATACAAAATCCAACGCAACACACCATCCCATGTAATATATTAAATCATGAGAATGTGTGCACATTTTGAAGTCTTGGGTTCTCTGTACATACAGACACTGAATACTGATGCGTATGTATGTGGGCAAGGAAATACTAAATTAGATTTATGTGCAAGCAAAATTATTTTGACCCGCTTGTAGCATCAGGTAATACACATTGGCTAAAAATGAGGTTCATCCTTATCGCAAACTGTCTGCTCAAAGGAGAACAATGGATAGGGGGAGAATTCTATGAATGATAGACAAGAAATGAGCTACAATGTTTTAATTTGTTAAACTCAAGAACATGTGATTCAGTTAAATACTGAAGAATTAAAACTGTATACAACACTGACAAAAATCCACCTTTCAGCAGTGTCAAAACTGGTAGCTAGTAATGATGGCACTGACAACTTCACACTATGTATCTTTTTTCCCCATGAACAGATATTTCAGCATCTTCCTACGATTCCTGCATATTAGTGGCTTAATTTGTATGTGTAACTCCTGCCCCTATAATTGTCCCTTCCTCTTATGTTCTTTGTGTACACATTCTTTCAAATAAAAACTATGAAGTTGACCAGACCACACACTAGAAGGTGAAGGGACGACGACGTTTAGGTCCATCCTGGACCATTCTCAACTCGATTTGAGAATGGTCCAGGACGGACCTAAACGTCGTCGTCCCTTCACCTTCTAGTGTGTGGTCTGGCCAACTTACTTTAGCCACGTTATTGTGACTCATCGCCTGCAAAAACTATGAATAAACCATATCCATCAGAAAAAACATCCATCAATATAGAAACAACATTCCTGGTTTACATACCTCATTTGTCCACTCCGAGTCATACTTCCAGCTGTGAGTATCGTTGTTCCACAGAACATTGCGAGGAGGAAATCCAACAATACGGTCTGGAAACTCTCGCCAAACCTATGGAGGGAGAATGTAAGTTTATACTGAGGTCAGCCATATACATCAACTTATAATGCAAACATAGTGGCAATTCATTACTTATAATTCCACATCTACCTTTTATATCAGACAATGACAATATTTTCCATTCAAAAGATGCAAATTTAATTACAAACATTTGCAATGCCAAACAATTGCCAAAATATTCCCACATAATGTGATAAAATCTGCCACCAACAGGCTATATGGAACAGTTACAAAAGTAACCTTCCTTTTACCATTATGGTTCAATGCTGAAAGTTTCTTAAACCTGATACACAAGAGACATTCTCCAGATACAGCATGGCAAGGACAAAAAATAAATAGGGCAATGAGCTGCTTCCAGATGTAGCAGCCAGGGACCTCCCTGGACAGTGCTCACATGCCAGACTAATGTTCACTTTTGCCCCACCTACATCATGCAGTACTCATCAACTGGCCTTGGCAAGTAGTTGAGGATGGGAGACAGTGAAGAGTTATATCAATTCACCACCAGAGCAACTGCTTGCTATAAGACAAAAGAACAGAAACAAGCCACTCAACACCCTCTAGAAAATTATAAATAGTTCACTAGTACACCCAATTATCATTTTGTTATGTTGTGTTTAGTGAACTACAACCACTGGATGGTATCACTAACTATACAATGCGGATGTCACAATGACAAGAGTGGGAACAGGAGCTATGAAGTGGCTGCTTAGAAAGGAATGTTTCGTATTACTTGATGCCCTATTCTGAGCAAAGCCCCCTTGACTGCTTCCAAAGCCAACTCCACATAAAGAAAATAGTATATTGGCAAAACAGACAATAATAAGAGAACATATCAGAATCAGAGTCAGAACCATACAGGTTGTTCACGGGGCATGACGTGAACTAGAGTCAAAGACCCAGGCACTGAACCGGCAGCAGGATCACCATGATGAAAGGCAGCCCAAGGCTACAAAGCAGCACAGACTGCAGCAAAATGGGAGAAGCATCCAGCTAATGTTCAGTTTGACCTTCAGAAATCCTGTCTGGATTTCAGAGCAGAACACTTGGCATAACAACAGTGAGGATTGTGAATCTCCTGAGATGATACATGTACTGTATGTACAGTATGTTGGTGGGTGTGAAGCCGACTCGGCTTCACAACTCACTGCAGTAGCTGCCAGAAGCAAACTTTAGTATGTGGAGATATACTGCATGGGCTCAAAAAGAAGAGCATCAGAGTGTGAAGCACAAGAAGTCCACAAATAATAATATAATGCAACCATCAGAAACATAATATGGTGAAACAAGGAGCCAAGAACCACACCTGTATAACAACAGAGTTCCAACAAAATTCAGATATCTTATTTTTAGACATAAGTGTAGGTGGTGGGTGCAAGCAGATGATGCAATTGCCACATCCAAACATCAAGGTATCAGGACATTGCTACAAAGAATGGAAATCCTCATCCCAAAGTGCCTAACTTGAAGAAGATGAGAGATCAAGGCCTAAGCCCAAAATCAAAGGCCCTGACCAACAGGAGGAAACCATGTTAGGCAGAATGCAGAGCCAGAAGCACAAACAAATGTCAGGTAACCTGATACTGGTGATGAGAAAGCCTGCAAAAGTGAGGCACAATAGCCTGCTTTTCCCACAGCCGCAGGTACAACTTTCCTCAACATCAGTGGAAAGATATGAAGTCGACATAATTCTGGGTGTCAATCGTCTGGTAGAGCCAAAGGTCAAGGAATGGCACCTGATGAGGCTGATGAGAGAGAACTGGTCACATGGAAGCCAGAGCAAGGATGTGGTCCACAAAGCCTTCCATTTTTGCCATCACGAGGAGCAGCATCCTGACTGGTGGAAATATATAAATCATCTTGCATCTGGTTCCATTTGAGATGCAGTGCATCCAATGCAAACAAATCCCCATCTGAGACCTGTGGGTGAGAGATGAATCAAAAGGACATCTAAACTGCTGCCATCTCCCCAAAACTAATGCAGGTGCACCACAAAGACCGGTCCACCATCACTGCCTGTGCTAAACATTTAGATAGCTGGAGGCAACTCTCCAACCCATGCCAGATGTGCTGGTAAAGAGCTTGAAAGAGGGAGAGGGAGGCTGCCATGGAACCAAACCTGGAAAACCTGAAGATGGTGCTGAAGTAGGAGAAATCTCAGGGTACATGGAGTACACAACCTGCAATCCTGAAACCACTAGAAAGCTGTAGTAAGTAGTAGAGGGCATCAGCCAAACCCAGCTCAAAAGGTGCACCATGCAGATGAAGTGCAGGTGGTTTAACAAATACTCAAGCTCCCTAAAGGACAAAAGATGCTTTCCAATGACCAGGTGAAGATAGGAAGTATAGCTGGTTTCAGAAGGAAGAGGACACATACTTGACTTCCCAAACCAGCTCGACCATTCAAGTTGCTGCGTTAAAAAGAGTGGGGAGTTCAGAACTTTCACCAGTAACCTAAAACAGCCAAGCATCTGCTGCACTACATCCCTTGCCAACAGGAATAACTAACAACTGGGGCCCAAAGTAAGAATCACTCAAGTCTCACCCCTCAGGATTCCACCACTTGCATTGATAATTCTGCCCAATGTAGGTGTGCACCAATGTAGGTCTACCCCTGAACCAGTAAGGAAGGTCCACCAGTTTAAAAGTGGTGAACTCAGAAGGCAAGAACAGCCAGACCAACCAGTAATCGTTTAAGGATGAGGCACGATCAAGACTCCTACACGCTTTGCGGCCAATATATATATATATACTGTATACAGATACGTGCACCTACAGTACTTGTAAACAGCACTACACCTACCAACATATTGCTCACAATAATGGTATCTTACCCATATTGGTTGTTAAAACAGTGAGAGCCAAGATAACAGTCAAGGTGCTCAAGACCTGGTGATGGTGGTGGTGTTGGGTAGCAGCTCGTTGATCCTTTAGCAAATAGTACAGCAATACTTGCCTCTCTTTAAAACCAATTAGCTTCAGTTAGAAAGATTAACAATTTTTTTTTAGAAAACCAATAACTGAAGACAGCACAATGAAATCACAAGTGTAACGTATCAATGAGAAAATATTGAGGTTGTACGATGGGCTCAAACCCGAATTCCATCCCATCGTACGGCCTCACTATTTTCTCATGCAACTGAAGACTCTTTCAGACCTAGCATCCAAAGTGCATACTAATCCATACATGGTATTTAAAGTGCACACTAATTCATACCTGGTATCCAAACTCCAGCTCATCAGCTGTCATCATGTTGATGTCATCATCTATAGCAAGAATGCACTCTGTCTCAATCTCTTCATATGGGTAGAAGCGGTTACTGAGTTTGTTTTCTCGTGTTTGCACAACTTTAAGAGGAACGCTGATTTTGGGCCACATGGACGCTGCAAAAGGAAAAGCTCTACAGATTTCTTGAATTGAGAGACCAAATTAACATTACAGTGAATTGTGTGGAAAGGATTTTCAGGACACACTAACTTGAAAGAACCTGAACAACAGGCAAGTCACTGTAATGCTCTTAAACAATTAAGCTTCATTAGCTACATTTTTATAACATGTAAATATAGGATGTATAACATTACAGATAACATACTGTATACGTATTGTAAATGCACTTCTTTCATACCTCGATTTTATATCAGAATCTAACCCTATCTTGCTCAAGACATCATCACACTTATCAACCAATCCACATTGGAAAAAATCTATCCAATCTTACACGAAAATTATTCTTTGAAAGATAGTATTAATGTAATTATTGAAGTGTCTTTAACCCTTAAACTGCTCAGCATAAGGGGGTATAATTCTAAAAATATTTTAATTATGTCAAAATTACTTTAAAATGTTAAACAAATCTCCAACTTATTGGCTTCAGCGTCATGAAACTTTCATCAAAATATTTTCAGAAATTGATTTGAAATTGATGAAATATTAAAAAAAAAAAGAACGTTTTGTCGATAAGGAGAACGGCTCCTATTAACTGGAACTGATGGATAATGCAATAATAAAGAGATGCAAACACCTTTCCAACGCACAAAGAAGAATAGTAGTGAGAAGTGTCCACAAAGTGGATATACAGCTGGTGCCTTTATAGCATTGGTGAGTAATACATAATAACGCAAATAATAATGAGTATGTTATTATGCTCTATTTTGTTATATATCATATATAATTGTTATATAACATTTCCCAATGTTAGAGAAAACAGAAAAAATCCTATTCAGGATAGTTTAGAAAAGCATCCCGAATGGAAGGGGCCACAACAAACCAAGAAGAGAGAAACGAGAGCACCCGGTCCAAAGATCAGGATGGCTCAAGGAGGCGCATGAGCAGGCCGGAGGTGAAACAACGCCTGAGACAGCTTGTGGAACGGGGCAGAAGTTTAGTCTCCATGGTGTAGTGGTAAGACACTCGCCTGGTGTTCCGCGAGCGCTTTGTCATGGGCTCGTATCCTGGCCGGGGAGGATTTACTGGGCGCAAATCCTTAACTGTAGCCTCTGTTTAACTCAACAGTAAAATGGGTACTTGGTTGTAAAAACGATTCTTCGCGGCGGGGATCATATTCCAGGGACCTGCCCGAAACGCTACGCATACTAGTGACTGTACAAAAATGTAACAGCTCTTGTGTATATCTCAAAAAAAAAAAATAAATAAATAAATAAATAAAAAAAAAAAAAAAATAACATCAACACCAAACGCAAGCTGGGGCGGCTCCGCCAGCGCCTCCCAGGACAAGGCAACAGTACACGGCATCAGATGACAGTCCCGGAACAACCCTGAAGGGAAAGACAAGACAACCCTATCAGAGACTGAAGAACCCTTTGCAGAGATAGGAAAACCAGAACGACCGCCAGGAAACCACACACTGCCACCAAGACAAAGCACACAGGTGGGAGACCAACAACGAAGCCACCAGCGTCCCCACAAGCGACGAGAACACGAGACAAAAACCCCAGATGCGAAGACTCAAGGGGAAGAACGAACCAGCCCTGTACAGGGCTGGACTGATCCGCAAAAAGAGGCGGAGCCACGGGAAGCTCCTCAGGATGGGAACCAAGGAAAGCAGAGCAGAGCCAGAAACAAGGATGGCAAAAACAAGAAGGAACAGCTGCCAGGGAACCAGGAACCCAATCCCGGTGAGCCGAAAAGGAACCAACCCGGATGAGCAGAAATGCCCAGTCTGTGAGGAAACCCCCCCTCCCTTGCTGGACCCTGGAAAGACCAACAAGGCCAAACACCGAAGAGCCAGGGCCCAGGCAGAGGCCAACGAGGAAACCGAGCAACACAAACTAAGGCACGAGACGCGAAGCGAAAAGCAGTGACCCTGCAACCCTAAGGAGACCAAATTAAGGAGCAGTGCAACCAGCTCCAACAGGGAAAAACGAGGCACGTGTCACCAAGGTATACAGGAGTAGCAAGAAAACAAAAACGCACGTTCCAGAAAAAGAACAAAGAGAAGCCGTAGCCAGGACCGGAATCCAAGCTACCCCTGTCCCAAGAAAAGGAACCAGGAGGGCAGGAGCGGTCGACTGGAAGTCCACAACCTCCCGCAGACATTGCAACACAAAAGCCTTCAGGGAGAACAAGGAAAAAGTGAACCCAGTACCAAAACTGAACACTGGGGTAGTCCAAAATCAGGGAACTGAACATAGAGGCCCACCCCAGCACCTAACAACAGTATAGCCAATAAGCACCAACCAAGATACACAGCTATGTGTAGCATAGAGGAGGGGAAAAAACAGAAATAGGCAAGGAAAAGACCAGAATACGGACCAAGTAGCAGCCGGTAACGCAATGTACACGATCAACCACAATGTGTGGCGTGGGGGGGGGGGTCGCACATACACAGGGACACCATGGATATCAAGGTGAGTGTCCACAGATCGAGAAAAGACCCAAGCGGCGAAAAACGAATCAAAAAGCACCGAAACGCGGGCAGCGGCCCCCAGTACACCAAGAACAAGATACACGGACAAAGTAGTTACTGTAAGACACACACAAAGTGTCCAAGCAAAACGCACAACACTTAACACCCCTGTTAGGAGCCAATGACGCTACCCTGTCAAGTGGGGAAGTGACAGGATAGACAAAGGACCATTTAACACGGGTGGTACATGCACAAGGGAGGACAGGCAGAAGTTGAGTACCCAAATGAGCCACAGACACACAGAACTGTTTCAGTGTCAGTAGTCAGTAAGTGGAATGCACTAGGAAGTGATGTGGTGGAGGCAGACTCCATACCAGTCACAAATGTAGAGAAGATAGAACCCAGTAGGCTCAGGAAGCTGTACACCTGACAGTTGAGAGGCAGGACCAAAGAGCCAGAGCTGAACCCACACAAACACAACTAGGTGAGTACAACGAGTAGAGTACCCCACCAAACAGCGAGAACCAGCACCCGGCCGACAGATTCGCCAGACAGTACAATCTCACCTGCAAAACAAGACACACCACCGTGTCACGACACAGCTGAGCCATGCAATGTAACAGGAGCATCCCTAGTGGAGAACGTTCAGAGGTGCGTGCCCAGTAGAAGAGGGTGAGATGCATGCAATACAGAGGCGGAGGAGGGGCCACTCAGGGCCACCCCACACTTGCTTCAGAACACCAAGTATCCAGGGGTTATGACCAGAAAGAAGAGGAGCAAAAACAGTGTAGAATCCGCGAGAAAGAATGCGGAACACCAACACACGTGTACACTGCCCAGAACAAAACGATTACACTGGCCCCAGCGCCCGAGGTATGAACCTCACCACCCGTCTTCCGGGCAGCGCGGCTTGTACACCAGTCGTATGTACACATATCGTTCATACACCAGCAAGGTATACGTACATACGTACAAGGCAAGGTAATGAATATGAGGAATATCGAAACAGGAAGGAGAGACGATGTGAATACAAAAGAAGGACAGGAGGGAAACCTCACTGGAAGTCAATAGACGTTCCCAGAACATTGGAAGTACCGAAGAGGTACACGAACCAATGAAAACTGTGACAAACAAGCACAAAAGCACAAAGGCACAAATGGGCCCAAAGACACCCCAGACCAAGGGACGTGAAAGGATCCCGAAACAAAGGGAATAGCAATGCGATATAAGCGCGAAAAAGGGGAAGAAACTGGGTGAAAAGCACCCCCATGAAGGACGGAACTGAACGAACCCGAACCCAGGGAGGGGGTAGATCTGAGACCAACACGAATGCAGAGGGGATAGGGAAAACCCCACTCTGAGGAACTGCAAGCCCCGCTCTGAGGGTACAAAACCCCAAGTGGGGTAAAACGGGGCCTAGGCCTCCCAGGCAATGCCTCCCCAACCCGGGAACCCATATGGCAGGACTCAGGGCCGAGTCGTTCCCCCAAAGCCCCAACCCCAGCCCCGCAAGTAAAAGCCGGGGCAGCCATACAAAACATTAACCCTTAACATGCTCGGGGTTTAATATCCTGTCATCCCCACAGGCACATGTCATTTTGAAACAAAAAAAATATTTTTTCTTCCTAACCTGTTAATTTGTGTTCACTGATCACGGGAAAAATAATAAAAAAATCGTAAGTGGCATATATTGCCCGCTATAGGGCGGGGAAGTCTGGCAAATTATAGGTGCTGACTCAGAGTGCGTCCCAGGCGGTCTGTTGCTTGCCAGCTGTCAGGCCAGAGTTGCCACAAAGAGATAGTTACCTAATTATTTCAATGTCTCTGATTGATTTTTCATAGTTTTTTTGCTGTAATATTATTCAATAGTGTGTAGTTTGATATATTTATATAATAAAATGAGTGAATCATTGCTGTACTCAAAAATATGGTGTGCATATTGTTGATTCAATTATGTTCATCAATCAGTGAACAAATACTTTGTCGGTTATTACACTATAAGCACAGGTTATATATAAGTATCTGCATGTTTTGTTCACTATAACGAACCACTAAGTAGCTATTATGAGTCAAAAAGTAACGAGGAGTGACCGCCGTGTACCAGCCAGCCACTCCCGCCCTCCCTCCAGTCATCTGACTCACCCACATTCTCCTCCCTCAATACTGTTTTTGCTATAATTCACTATATACAGACGTTATATATAAGTATCTACATGTTTTGTTCACCATAACTGTACATCTAAGCTTGTATGGTGAGTAAAGGCACAAAGACTTAGGACCTCACACAGTCAGCTGATGGCTGCCACCCTCAAGGCCAGACGCACTAATATTTTTCCTCCAACAATACTGTGTGGTGTTATTACGCTATATATCTTATATACAGACGTTATATATATAAGTATTTACATGTTTTGTTCACCATAACTGTACATCTAAGCTTGTATGGTGAGTAAAGGCACAAAGACATAGGACCTCACACAGTCAGCTGATGGCTGCCGCCCTCAAGGCCAGACGCACTAATATTTCTCCTCCAACAATACTGTGTGGTGTTATTACGCTATATACACACATTATATATAAATATCTACCTGTTTTATTCACCATACTTGTACAAATAAACTGGTATGGTACCCAAGGACCATCGTGGTAACCAGTAAACAACACCGTCGTCTGCACGGTGGTGTCGTGCAGACGACGCCACCGCCCTCACCAAAATGGCGGCTCCAAACCTTCTCTTGCTGTTTATACCCTCTATACACACGTTATATATAAGTATCTACATTTGTGTTCACCATAGCGAACCACTAAGCTGGTATGCTGAGTGCAGTCAATAAAAGGTGGCCACACACAGTCAGAAGACATCGCCATCACCCTCCCTCCCACAGCATTACTCCTCCGTCCATGGCGCCCAGCACTAAATATCACCACAATCCTGCTATTATCAGAACCCTGGTCAGTTTTATCACAGTCAGGGGTCTTCTGTAATAATATAATCGCTACATAATAGCATGAACAAGTATATTTTGGCATTTTTAGGCGATGCTGTGGTCACAAGCTGAACAGCAGTGCTGTTAGCTCATGCTGCGTGCGTCAGGCTTGGTTGCTCACTCAATACTGAGGCCAATAACACCCGGGAGTTTGGCCCACAATTTTTTTTTTTTAATGGCGTCTGTTTACAAGAGCTCTGATGAAGGTGTGGTGAACCCCGTGTATCCGCGGGCTGTTTAAATCTTGCGTAGTACTCCAACACATCATATGACGTGATGCGCAGTTGACTGGAACAACGTCCAACACGTCATATGACGTGATGCGCACTTTAAGGGTTAAGGAAGGGAGCCCACTGGTCAGACCCATACGGCACGGCTGGAGGAACAGGCTCGAATGCCTCCGCCGCCACCCCGGAAGAGGAAAACCCCCGAGACCGCCTGAGTCTCAACCCTACCAGACCCTGCCCCAACCCTGTAACCCGCCTATGGTTCGGAGTCGGAAGCAAGGGAAAGGAGGTATGCACAACAGAAGGGAAAGGATGAGGAGGAGCAGATGGAACCAGAGCCGAAGCGACTCCCACCCCCAAGTCCGGACCCCTTAACCAAAACGGAGCAGTCTCGGCGCATCCGTGTCCACTCACGGGGGCCAAGCGGGGAGGACCACCAAACACATAATATAGATATATAAATATATATATACCCCAAGAAAAGCGATGGGGACCACAAAGGCAGACCCCCACCAGGCAGAAAACAAAAACAAAAGAAAAACCTCGCAAGAGGACAACGTTCCCAGGCGGAACAGAGCCGGCCACTGTCACAGGTGAAAACTAGCTGTGCAGTACCCTGCGCCCCTACCAGTGACGAAAACTACTGTACTCCTACCCAGAGACAAACAAAAGCTGACCCCAAGGACGGCCAAGTACCGAGCAGTAAACAGCACAGCGGAGGTAGATCCCGAGATGACTTGTGGAAGGAGGCCCCAAGCCCCAAGGGCAGTACTGTACTTACAGGGCACCTAGGGAAGGGAACCCTAGGTGCATGCAGCCCGAGTACCGTGGAATACGTCTCCTGGCTCACGCATCACCTGTAGACAGCCCACACCACAAGGCACAGAACTGAAACAAAAGTCGCAGCCAGAGGCATGACCGCACCAGACTTCCATCAGCCAAGAACTGTAGGTTGGGTTGCCGGCGGATGGGTCTGGAGCTCCCCTTCCCCCTCCCTGGGGGGGGGTTGGTGGGGGTTGCGCAGACCGCGGCGTGGCGACATGATGACGTCATGCTAGTTTGCTAATTTTCACTTGGGGAGTTCTGTCCACCTGTTTGGCTGTCGGTCGCAATACTTTTACCAGATTGGGGTTTGTTTTGGGGCACCTACCTTTCTGGGTGCCTGTCCCGATCGATGGCAGACATAGAATGATCCCAACCACAGGGAGGGGGGTCTCTATAGGCCAATGCTCCTCGTACCTCTCTAGAGGGGGCCAGGTTCTGGCTCTTTGTCCCCGGTAGGCAAGAACTCCATGCATTGACTGATGCCAGAAAGATATACATAACCATTCAGCCTTGATAGTTCTGGGGAGCCGGCGGGGCTCCCCCTAGAAAATATTTTTTGGGGGGATTTTTTTTTTATAGGTTTTTAGGTTTTTCCCCTCCTTTGTTTATTATTTGAATTTGTTGTAACCTATACATCCTGGAGAATGCATACCCCTACCTAACTATGTGAAGACAGTATTAAATTGGTCAACAAATAAATCAGTCACAACTCTCAGAACTTGGGACTTAGAATTTTTTTGGCTGATTTTTTCAAAGATTTCAATCTCTATTTTTCTTTTTTCTGTAGATTGTTTTGATGATTAGGGACCAGATTAGGGCTTTTTACTTATATAAAGTATACCCTAAATATATCTCCTGAATCATTATAATTATCCCTATATTTTGTTTATTTGGGGAATTATTTTTTCTTGACTTCATTTTATCACATAGTGACCTATAACTTTCACATATTTGAGTACGAATGCCAAACAATGTTTATTACAACATACAAGTAAATTCATGAATTAGAACTGCCTTATTCATTGTCGAAAACTTCAACTTCAATTATATCTATAACAAGAATTTCAACTTACTTTAGTATCGAAAAATATAGTTTCTGACCGATTCTCACCATTTTTACATATAGGTTGCACAGCTGTCTGTTCTACAATCCCTATAGAATTGATTTTTCATAAACTCTAAACGTTTGGAGTTATAAATTTTTGTTGAAGAACAAGAACAAAACAAATAGGACATTGAATACTATAAAATGCTCAGGGTGACCTGGAAGGCTATCTGGTGTGACCGGGAACGTCAGGATTAGAGTCATACGCTCCCGGGAATGGTCAGTATCCTTGTTCAGCTTTATTTTATTTGTTATTCAACAAGGCACTTATTGTGTTCTGCTTAACCATTTTAGTGGAATTTTCTTTACTTTTGGGCAGTACTTTGATCCCCCAAGCTCCTCTCACTTAGTAAAGACCCCCCAGATTCTGGTCCTATCTCCTGATAGGCAAGCACGTGTCTCAGAGGCCTGATGCACATCTTAAGGCTTGGCTATACCAGTGAGTGAGCTACTGAGGGCCCCCCAGAAAGTGAGGTTTCATCACATTCAAAGCTTAATTTATATTAATTTCAAATAATTACCCTTTTAATTAATTAAATACAAAAATGTAACTGTCGACTAACCTTGTGGTGGAGCTTTCTTCTGATTATTCCACACAACAAGCACCTTGGATAGTGATGGGACCTGTACCATTGTCTGGATTACCTAGAGATACAAGAAAAACATGCAACAAACATACATACATACATACATACATACATACATACATACATACATACATACATACATACATACATACATACATACATACATACATACATACATACATATATATATATATATATATATATATATATATATATATATATATATATATTATACACCCCTTAGATTGGGCTAAGGGGTGTTGTTTGTATATTTAATATATATATATATATATATATATATATATATATATATATATATATATATATATATATATATATATATATATATATATATATATATATTAAATATACAAACAACACCCCTTAGCCCAATCAGCTCAGTTCCAATAGCAATCAGAACATAGAAATGACTGGATATTTGGTCAATCCTTCTAACCTCAAAAAAATACAGTAATAAATTTATTTATAAAACTTTATAATGATATGCTGCAGCTTCACTAGGTACTATAAATCAACACACAACAAAATATGGTTTAGGTAATTTGCAATAAAAATGACTTATTGTGGGTACTCACCAAGGGTCAAGATGTTTCTTCACATATAAAGTAATTGATAAAACAAGTACAGTATATTTATACATGCTGATATTAATTGAGAAAGGAGGATCATACTTATAACTGTAGTGTGTTGTCCCTTTAGACATCTTGTCTAAAGGCACAATGGGATCTTACCTAAGTGAGAATAATTCAGGATGAGGGACTAGATATAAAAAGGCGGTTCAGCTATTGCACCAATAATGTTCATCATCTATATAAATCTTCCAGAAGGCATACAGAACTATGATACTAAGCTATTGGAGAAGATAAGAGACTTAGATGATTGTCATGACTTCAAGATGACCAGAACATAAGTTTATGGAACAACACTAAGCAAATGGAATTCAATATGAATAAATGCCATATTGGGGGATGTGGAATAGAAGAAAATTTGGCCACACATAACTTACAAATTACGTATGTGCAAAAGACATTAAAGAGCGCCAACAAAGAATGAGACCTAGGGGTAGTTCTAGATAGTAGTAGTTGTTCTAGATAGTAGACTATCACCCGAGGACCACATAAAGAACATTGTGTGAGGAGCAAAGGCTATGCTTCCCAACTTCAGAATACTGTAGCTCTTATATTAAAGAAATTGTTGATTTTCGTGAGACCAAAACTGAAATATGAGGCGGTAGTATGGTGTCCATATCTCAAGAAGCACATCAGTAAACTGTTAAAGGTGCAAATACATGCTACTAAATGGCTTTTGGAAATGTAAAGCAAGTTCTATGTTAAATAAGTTTGAGCTATGTTAAATATGCCAAAGCTAGAAAAATAGAAAAAAAAAAAAAAGAGTTGAAATGATCAGTATGTACAAAATAGTATCAGAAATCATGAAAATTGACAAAAGATGAATGCTTGAAAACTGCAGTTTTAAGAACAAGCAGTCATAGATTCAAACTTGAATTGAGGAAACAAAGTTGCCAAGGAAACATTAGAAAGTTCACTTTTGCAAACAGAGTGGTAGACAGTTGAAACAAGTTAAGTGAGAACGTGGTGGAGGCCAAAACCGTCAGGAGTTTCAAAGTGTCACATGACAAAGAGTACTGGGATGATGGGACACCACGAATGCAGCTCTCATCCTGTAACTACACTTAGGTATTTATACATACACAAGCAAGGGAGGCAGGAAATGAGAGTGCTAGGGTTAACCACTGGACTGCGCCAACCGAGAAAACTCTCTGATTTTTTTGTACCCATTCAAAATGTGTGCGTGTTTGGTTGTGTACGAAATGGTCTCTTAGGACCTCCAGTGAGAGGCAGCCATCTTGGAAAAAATTGTGAGAATGCCCTAGGGCTGCTGGCTGGGTTAGTACTGAGTGAGCAACCATGGGTGGCGCACGCATCTCTGGCTCCCAAACACCTGTCTGATTGCGCTCTGTCGGTGAAATTCAAACCTTATTGTTTGAAGAACATAAGGGTCATGATATTAGTGAAGCTAGGTGTAATAAGGACCTAACACAAAGGTCAGATGCAAGTGATACAGCACCTATGAGGACGATGCAGCGAGCGTATCCAGTTGAAGCTCTGAGCGCCACCCTCACCAATGTATGCCATCTCCAATTTATATAGATGATACATAGATGAATCGCTTTCTGCGTTCAGTGATGATGTATGTGATACAAGTAGCATAGACGAACATGGTGGTGTTTTCCATAGATATTTTCAAGAATAACTGAACCTCTCCAGAATGCCTGAATCTCTTTTAGATTGGCAGACACTCTTCGAGGGTGGCTGAATCTCTTCCTTCGTGGGACCTTACAAAGCGATCTTTTCCTATAATCTTTTCAATACTATCTTATGCTTTACAAGCTTGGTAACATACCACCTACAAGTACTAAAGCCAAGGGTGTATGTGAGTGCGTTACTCGCAAGCACACAGAACGAAGAAACAGTAAGCGAAAATCTATCTGTACCTGGTGCAATGAGAGCAAAGTCGTGCTGTGTACCATGGACTACTTCGTTGATTATTACTCACTTCCGAAGTACTGAGTGTGTAATACAGTGTGTTACTGTGTGAAACTGTACATATTTTAAATTTAGTGAATTTTTAACACGTAATATTGCGACAATAAACATTTATTGTGGACACATTACTGACACATGTATCACAGTGCCATGGAACATTATGAATATGCATCATATACGATAAAAAAAAAATAACCACATTGGAAATACATAGAACAAATAATTAAAAATATATTTGTGGCAACACACGGTGCTTGAGTGGCCCGCGCGACCGTGTCTGGGAGCATCACGCCCGGGCAACCAGCCCCTGATAACGTCACAGCGCACCTTGTCCACGTCCTCACGGCCAAGGTAAGTGGAATTTGACATTTATATTTACATAGACATGTTCAGGGAAGGGAATTCATAATTTTAATAAGAATTTTTTTTTTTGGGAGGGAACACTTGATTTCATGTGTACAGGGTGGGGGGGGGGGGGTGAATTTCACTATAAACTTGGCGCATCACAGTGGTTAAGTATGACAGGAGATCCTGGTGATACTTTTTCAGACTTAGCCTAGGGTACAAATTACAGTATTTGCAGCATATGGTATGTAGCTACTCTATTTTACCTTAACATTATAGCCCACTTATTTCATTATACAAAACTTCTCAGACTTGACTGAGATTTGACTTTCATTAACCTACTTTTACATGCATACGATTCAATATGGTACACATGAACCAATGTGTTACTTCTCCTGTATTAGGTATTGAAACATCACAGGCTAACATTTGACTCTTATGCTAAACAAAGGTCTGTACTGCTTTTGCCTATAGGCAAGAGTAAAACTAGCATTTGCTTCCTAATTTACATTTCAGTTTTAAGACACTAGTACAGTATTTTAGTTAAATTACCTGAAAGAGTGATTCCAAGCGGTCATAGGTAAGGATAACTGCAGTAAAGCCTTCATTTGCCGGGGCTGTGAGAGGAAGGAAAAGAGGATTTTCAACTGCTGAGGGTACAGGCCGAGTATTCCACTGCTGCAGAGATTGCTGGTGGGCTGGGAACACTCGATCATTGAGTATCTTCAGAGTGGTAAGGGTGATGTCTCTTATTGTTGAAAAATACTTTTCATATAACCACAATACCTGAAACAATTACAGTACTGTAAATAAATACTGTAACTGCAGAAGTACTTTTGTGAGTAAACACCAATGATGGTAATCAAATACAGTACTGTAGTATGTACATTTAACTAAATTTAAATACCAATACAGCACTGTACATAAACACTGTAAATAAACTATACACTGGATTTCCCTGATAGATTGGATAGATGGGTACTGGATCAATTCTGCTGCAACAGAAATTTCCAAGGCTTGCTACTTTTGCCCATTTGATACCACACACCTGTTTCTGCATATGGCCGAGTCGTTCCTGAGACACGTCTCTCTTGAGTATTTCAATCACAGTCGGCAGGTCCTCTTCATACACTTGAACAGCTGCCTTGCGCCAGTCTATTACCTGGAGCCAATGCACAACTTATTTTACGATATCTCTGGACATGTCGGTTTAAATCAAAATTTCTCAAATGGGGTTCTGCAAAACCTCAAGGTAACTAGGAGTTGTGCAAGAGACAGTGATAAATAAGTTCAGTCTAATAATTTGCAAATTTATTTTTTGCAATAAAAGGCAAATTCTATTCATATGCAAATGTATTTTTGAGACATTTCTGTGTTTCATTTTTCTCATTTAACCAGTATCAAAAGCAAAGACAGAAATCATCTCCTTTCAGTTGTGTGTTGATCTAAATTACGACCAAGAATTAATTTCATGGGTACAAAGGTTGAAAAACGCTGGTCTAAACTAATAGCTGTAAATTATGCCACAATACTGGTAGACCAAGAGTAATTTTTAGTTTATACAAGTCTAATTAGAAGGCTTATAAATAACAATCCTAAATAGGACCTTTATTACCTCAGAAAATGGCAAAACATATCCATCAGCTACAATCACAGGTACACATCCTGCACGCATGGCATCATATAGTACACTCTGACCAAGGCGGCCCCCACGAATGACCAAACAAAACTTGGCATCCTGAAAAGAATTGTTTTTATAAAATTATCATTGAGTAAATCTCAAAGTTAGAATTCTCAGAAAGACTTAATGCCTTAATGCCACTCCAAAAAAACCTAAAGTCCAAGCACTGCAAAATGCATGTAAATGCTCTCCACTAACCTGTCACCAAAACTTACCTGGAAAGGGCATGTGAACCTTCATCCCTTCATATGTAACCTTCCTGAGGTGTGGAGAATCTGCCTACCTATAGATCGACCAGGAACAGGTAGCATAACCACCAACAAATTACAAAACATCTGCCTTTCACATGAGCCAGCCAAGCTTAACTCTTCAGTCGCTAAGAATGATCAGCCATGCTTTCCTTTAGCCTAAAGACAACAATCAATGATTGGAAAGAGGACAGTCTGCCATTGCATCTAAAGAACAAATGAAACATCTTAGACAAATCTATAGCCACACTGCAAGTGCAGATGAGAAAGCTAGAAATTTGCTAAGACTTACAAATTTAGCAAGTTCTGCATTGTGTACCATTTGGCACAGATGTCCAAAATAATATGCTCAACATCTCATAAAAGAATAGGAGATTGGCTGCCATGCCACCCAGATTAGTAGGGGCTGCAGAACCCAGACCTGCAAACTGCATATACAAAATTCAGCTATAACCTGATAAGCTATTAGTCAAATACCAAAAGTGGCATTCAAATGAAGATTTAAGGCCCTCTGAACCCATCTAGCAGCGATAAAGGTAGGGGTTCAATAACACCCAAATAACACTCAGGAAAGTTGCACACATCATCAGGCATGGAGGCAAACAAGGTAGGCATGTAAATCCTCTCTCCTCCCCTCCGTTCAGTGAGGGAATATTGGTCTCCTGGGTTATCCATAGATAACTAGGTAGGCCAGGTGTAGGAAAAGCATCTAAGATGAGCAAACACTGAGCCCCAACCTGAACCATTCGACGAGAGAAGACTTGTGCAGCAAAGAAAAGAAAACAAAAAAAATCAGCTAACTTATCCAGGTGCACCCTTGGCCAAAGCTCAGGGCCCAACTGCACCGTAGGCAGAGCCAGACCTTGCCTCCAGTAGCCTTGTTCCACCTGCAGCTTCAACACCATCAGGTGTCAGATTGTCCCAGATGACTTGCAAGTTGGTCGAGTGGTTGTTTGAAAGCCTAAACTTTGCCTGCATAGTTTTTTCATCTGGGGAAGGGTTTGACTCCAGGTATTGTATTAGTTTCTCTGGTTCCAGCCATTTTGCTGCTCCTGGAGCCAGTGGGTTCATGCCCTGCTTGCCCTTTATCAGCTCTTGCTTCTCTAGTTTCCCCTTTGGGTTTGTCATGGTTCAGTTCCAAGGTGCCATCCCCCCCCCCCCCATTATGTGACCAATGCTCACCAGGCTGCCCAGCATCAGCGGTCGGGCCCATTACTTCAGGGGCACAAGTTTGTGGCTGTGTGGCATGCCCTGAGGAGTATTCGGCTTCCTCCAGGCTCTGTACTCCGGCTTCTTTCTGACTGCTCCCCAATGGTTCATTGCTTGAACTGTTGGAAGATGCTTCATTTCATTGCCCTGTGGAGCTGGATGTTTAAGTAACTTGGCTTCTGGATTCCCTGGGCTTGGTTCTCAGTGTGTTCACATGCGGGGTGTATCTAATGTTCTTGTGGACTGGTGATCTTGCTTTTGCCCCATTTCTATGGAATGGACCATCGATGCTGTATCTTCTGTTGGCTCTGTGAGACGTTCAGTTGCCCAGAGGTGAACTTCTTCACATCAGCATGGAACCAGCACCTTCTCCCTTACGTGGCCTCAATCTCCAATCACGAGGCTCTCATGGTGGATGCCTTGCGAATGGACTGGTCGAGGTGCATTTACCTTTTCCGCATTCAATTGTTGCTCAGGGTGCTGTCCAGTCTGGAGTCATACTTGGGAAAGGTGATCCTTCTGGGTTCTTTGGTGGCCAGCCCAGCCTTCGTTTCTGGCTCTTCTGGTCCTGTGTCCAAACCCGAGCTTTTTTCCTTGGCTCAGTCTCTTATCACCAGATTGGCCCAGTGATGTACAGGTACTTCACTAGTTTGAACTGCTCTGCTCTTCACATCTGGAGTTTTTGAAGTGTTGTCACACTTCACACACACTCAGGTTGTCCACAGTGTCATCAAGTCTAGCCAGTTTGTGGTCTACCCTCCACAAATATCATGTTCTGATCGCCCAAGATATTCACAAGAATGAGGCTTTGGTTGCAGTCTTTTCTCACATGTTCTGGGTTGATATTTGGGCTCATTGGTTTTGGCATTCTAACAGGATTCTTATGGATCAGTATTTAGTCACTGTTCCTGATCTCAATTGGTTATGTTACTTGGACAGTGTTTCCTAGCCTGGATTCTGTTCATCATGGTGTCTGCTGCCTCTCCTCCTCCCTGGGAAGACCCATTTTTCTTCTTAGCTTCAGGGAGCCACTGGGGAGCTCCCCCCAGAAAATCACCATAGAATACCATAGGCCCACACCATGGGCCCACC